CCACCTGCTACCATTTACTTAGAGTTCTTTATGGCCACTCCATGCCTTCTGCCAATGGCTTTTGGTTGCATTCGGTTGGAGAGACAGAGTGGAGTTGCTTTACTTCATCTTCACTGGAACATGAGCCCTCACTTAAGTTTTGTAAACTTCAGTTACTTCATCTTCAAAGTGAGTGTGACTAATACCTGCCCTTTCTAATTCCTAAGATATTTATAGGAATAAAATGAAATGGCATATACAAAAGTGTTTTGTAAATGTAAAGTATGTTACGATTGTGATCATGGTGATATATTGCTCTTTGAATACTTACACATAACTGGAAGACAACTGTTTCCACTTCAACTTTATTATTTTTGGCAATTCCCCAAATATACACTGTCACATTAATAAAAAGTTGGGCCCCCATTTTAAACAAAGCCAAACAGATTTCCACACTGCAGGACTTCTTGAAAGCTCTGATAGGTTAATGTACATTTTGAACTTCCAAGAGATAAATGAATAGATTTAGGTACTTGTCCATGAGCTATTTTCTTTGGTATGGGTCTTTTAAACATAAATAAATGCAGAACTATATATTATAAGCACATTCTAGAAAACTCTTCTCTATGGCATCTTTAACATGAATAAGAGTGTTATAAGCTTTGGCAAAACCTTTATTCCCCCTTTTAATCATCTGTCAAGCTGAGAGCCTTGCTTGCAGACATATGGCTGTAGAAAGAAAAATATCTTGGGGGAATATGAGGCTTTAAAGAAACACACAGATGCAAAACAAAATAATGTACATTTGGATATCTTTTCGAAGTTTCACTCAAGTAAAAGTGTTTTGTGGCCTCATTTTCAAACCACAGTCTATCAGTGTGAGAGTAGTTGAAAGATACTCTTTGAATCTGGTATTACCATGAAAATTTGGGCTGTGGATTTATACTATTTCTTATACTAGTCTTCAGAAAAGTGTTATTGAATCCTGATGTATTTATACCTCCTGGTTCTTTCAGTTAAAATTTTTAGAATTTAGGAACATAACATAATAATGTCTTATGTATGTAACTTCATTGTACTTGTGGACTTCTAATTTCTTCCTATCTGTAATGGTCGAAATCGGACATAATTCAAAATTATTTTTCTTTTCCACTTTACATCTTTGTGTAAATAAGTTTATATAAACAAAAAGTGCCAGCAGAATCTATATTCATTAAAAGAGAAAATGAAGACAATATAACTTTCAACAATGAGGAGTTTGGCATCTTGAAGGTAATGTATGGATGTTAACTTATAAATCAGTTTAGAACTCAAATTCACTACTAAGAAAAATAATTCTAGGAAAGGGTCATTGAATTGTCAATCTGTTTTTCTGTATGTATACTTTAAAAGGTCAAAAGTAGAGGGATTTACATTCACAAATGTCCTGAACTTTGATCAAGGATCAACTTCTTAAAAGATAATCATAATCTGCCTTTTATCACCTTATAATCCTATTCTAATTATGGCCCTAGTTCACCACTACTTCTCCCTGGGGAAATTTATGAGCCCCATATGCTTGTCTTCTGTGCCACGCAGACAGTCCTGGGGTCTTGCATCCATGCAGTTTGAGAGCACAGGCTACCATTACTTACAAGCTTACAAGCCTAGGTTAAATAAAGTATAGAGAGCAGTAATTCAAGCTTACCCACAGAAACAGCAAGGTCACATTTGGGGTCAAGTCTGGATATATCTAACATCTGACCAACATCTGGCTTATGTTATTGAGAGATCAACTGTACTCACTAAAAAATAACATTTTATGGACACTATCTTACAGCAGTCTCCAAACACTCTGGTTTATTTTTATTTAAACAATTTACATAGTTCATCTGTTTTTTTTTAGCAGGGGCTAAAACTTGTGTGAAAAGCTGCAGTACAAAAGGCCAATATACTCCATGTCCATGCAGAAGAATTTCATTTCTAGATAGTAAGTTTGGATGTCTTATTTGTTTCACCATCAGGTCATCTGGAATGTCAGTTCATGGGCAGATGTGAACTTTGGCTGCCTACAAGCCATTCAAACTTCTCATCTTCTTCCACTGTCTCGGTTGGAAAGTGGAAATCTTCAATTTTTTAACCTTCCCTGGGTGGAACACCGTATCATCCCTAGACTACGGGCCCCTGGATTAAAAAGTAAAATCTATGTTTTGGAAAAATGGAGTTTTAAAAGTTTATGGAGGTGCCTTGGATTCCTGGTAAATTGTACCTCCATGCATTGTGGAACAAAATACATGGAGTTTTAGACTCTCAGGATTAAAGTCAGCAAGAAAAGTTTGTATTTTCTTT